TAAAACAACTACTTCGCGAAATCTTTCAACATTGTCGGTCTTTTCGTTACTCTAGTTGACCTTCTCATCTGAACCAGTACGTGGCACAGCACTGTCATGTGCCTTGTCAGGACGTCCATTTACTGATACAGCTGCTAATTCTGCATTAACTACAAAATCCTTTTCAAATATACTAACAAAATTTTCTGAAATCATACTTGTTGACTTTTCAGATGCAATATTTGGCATAACATCACACTTAACAAACACATTTTGACTCATTTTCAACAAAATAAAAGGATGTGTGATGTCGATTTCTTCTGTCCTATTGGCTATCCACATTATGTCATTTCAGAGAGAGCCATCTATCGTGTAATCTCTGAAAGTACACGGCGAGGACGACGGCGTCACACGCAGTTGGTGGCTTTGTGTCACACACTCTCCCTGTACGTAGAAATTTACCGTGTTGTGCTGAACAACCAAAGCGTATCAACATACTGTACCTTTATACGTTAAGCTATAAACAACACAAACAACATAAACACACAGTGGCAGCAGTGAGGCAAACAACCATACACAACCAATATTAATAATGGATGGAACGACTATTTTCTTCTTTTGCATTTTAATGTATTCCGTGCCAAATACTAGTATTTTCTTGACGGTCAGTATTCTGTTATATCACTGAAAAGAAATATTCATCGTGAGGCTATCCAAATAGTTAAATACTGCCTTCCCCTCTCTCCTTCCTTTCCCTCTCTCTCTTTCCCTGTCTCACTCTCACTCGCGCGCACACGCAGTCACACACGCAATTTTACTAAATTAACACACACGACATCACATAAAACCTAGAATCTGTACATATTTAACAAATATCTAATTACAATAAAAAATAAAACGAACCAATTATGAAAGACCCCTTCTTTAAACATCATCCTAAAATCAATGACGGACCCATATAACCTTTTGCATTCATACTGGATACTTACGTAGATCTGGTAGATGTTATGCAGAGACACCGACGTTTCGCCCTTTATCACAAGGACATCATCAGGGAACTGTGGCCCCGTACTGCTGTCGGCACGTGACTTGGCATTCAGTCGTCACGTCGCCATTTAAACAGGCGTATAAGGTGGGTACTGTAATCGATGTCTTGATTAATAGTGTAATCAAGACATCATCAGTCATGATGACACTATATTAATCTGAATTTAAAAATCCCTGATGCTGTCCAAATATAAGGACGTCTTACAGGCACGTAGACAGGGGAGAGGGGGGAGGGGGGTCGAAAGAATCACCCTTTTTGGTTGAAAAAGGTCCACTCTGGGTAAAGTTTGACCTAGGTACAAGGGGATTTTATTGTAAAAGGTACACTTTTTCAGAAAAAGTCCCTCCTTTGAAATTGCTGGTCACTGACCTGTATAAGATGTGATTTATGAGCAGCTCGGTTGTGTACCTAAAATATTCCACACTGCCAGAGTATCAGTGATAAGGTGACCCGTTACAACCTACAGAAAAAAGTTACGGGTCATATGCACATGAGCTTGCATAGTTGCAGTGGTCTTAACAGTGCATGCCCATTGGAAATATTGCTGAAAGTTTATACCCGATTCTCAACTTACAACATCAAAGCACACGTGGGCACAGGTCAGTTTTAAACCAATTTTATAAAACGTACCAGCACGTGAAGCATGCCACTAGTCGTGGTCAGCGGTGTGGAAAGTACTATTTCTAGCAGTGAATACGATTTCATTCATCATACAGTTTGTCATTGTCAAAAAAAGGGGAGAGTGATATGGCTCTGCGGGAAATTGACACCACACTTCTGATGATTCAACACAATTCTTAGTCTGCATTCCCCTTATCTTTATTATTATTATTATTATTATTATTATTATTGTTGTTGTTGTTGTTGTTGTTGTTGTTGTTTTTGTTGTTGTTTTGTTGTAGTGAAGTATCAGTAATTACTTATTGCACTAGTGTTCTTATGACGTTGCCTTAAAATTAAATTAAAATAAGAGTGTCTTCTCACAAAAATGTTCGTAGTAGGCCTATGTCTCTAGCATGGTAAGTATAATGCAAATGCTGGGTCAGGGTGATACTGTAAGTAATATCAAAGCAGTGAACAGAGATTATATAAGCATATGAATGAATGGACATGTGCATTTCAGGATTCTGTAAAAATGTCTACAGCAAATCAAGGGGATTTATGGACTTGCATCGCTGCAGCAACCCAGAGTGGAAACAGCAGAGAAGAGTTGGCCAATATCTACGACAAGTGGGCGGCAGATTATGACAAAAGCATGGTAATGTATAGCTTTTTGATCCCATTTACAGCAGCTGAAGTCCAAGAATATAAAAGACTGGTTCAGATACATTCACACAACTTTCACGTCAAAAGCAACAAATGACGATAAACCAATTAATAGACAGAATTGTAGGGAATAAATGATGATATAAACCAGTCCTTTGTTACAGGGTTCTCTATACAAAGGGGCAGAGATGAGTGCACAGTCAGTCGCTCTGCTGCTCGGAGAAAACAAAGATGCTCTGATATTGGACGCTGGGGCGGGGTCCGGCCTTGTCGGGGAAGAAGTATGTACTCTTTTGGCTAAATAATTATTTAAAACTTCGAGTTAGTATATAGGCTCTTCAGTCAAGGATATACCTCCGTTTTCATTATTCTTTTTCGCTCCATTGGGGACTTCCATCTTGACGTTCGCGGTTCATATATTGTGGCTTGACACCAAATAAAATAACCTGAGATTTTTCTTAGTTAAGATTTAAAAAATAATTTCAGCTTCAGAAACTGGGATTTAAAAACCTGGATGCACTTGACGGAAGTCAGGGGATGCTAGATGTAGCCAATAAAAAGGGAGTTTACAAGAGGAGTATCTGTGATTGGCTAGGACCGAACAGATTGGATATTGATTCAGGTGCACTGCATATATTGTGTTAGTTGTAGTTTCAAATGCGTTAATTAAACAGTGATACAAACCTTCATCATATTTTTCCATTTAAGTGTAGCTTACAAAGGAGTCAATTTACTCGCTGCAGCATCGGCTTCATTAATTGATCAGTTTCCTTGGTTACATCTTTATATTCTGTATGACAGAATTCGAGACATAGGACAGAATATGCTGAAGGTAAACTTCCGTGGTATACACAGTACAGCTTTGATGACTTTATGCAAAACAATGCATTAATTAAACTGATTTCCAGACCATTACGACTGTGTGGTGTGTGTTGGTACTGTGGCGAAGGGCAATGCCAATGCAAGCTGTCTTCCAGAACTGATTCGGATCACTAAACCTGGTATGTTAGGAAATACGCGTATACCTCCCCCAAAATGCTTTATGGAGATAATAAATTATGGTAGTATCTTAATTGAGTTCTGCGATTATATGATCCTCTTTAGTGCTTCGTGGTTTTAATATTTATTGTGCTCACTACAGGTGTTGGTATTTATAAAGCGACTCCGAAGGCACATGATGGTGAATTGAAGGTATTTTCACTTAAATGTCCATGTAAGTAATAACTGACAGTAACTTATAGCCCTGCGACCAATTAATGGTATTGATAATATATCTACTATTTAAACAGGTGGATATATCGTCATAGCAACAAGGGAAATGCACATCCTAAACTGTGGATATGACGGCAAGAGTTGGGACGATTGGTTGAAGATTCACGGAGACAACGGGCTGTGGAAGAAAGTAGATGTGCAGAAGAAAGATGGGTATTTTGCCGATATCCATACTGGTATCATTTACATGTATCGCGTTCTATAAAGACTAATCCTACAGACAAGACAGTTTACAAGAGGAGTATCTGTGATTATCATTTTCTCTAGGGCACTTAAAGATTAAAATTTAACTCGCAATATCAATAGATTTTAGCCTTATTAAAATGTCTAAGTGTAATGTTGTTTAACTAATGCATAGCACTTAATGAACTCGATCGTTGTTTCACTTCTATCCACATTTGCTTTACGTACTCTCACACAATCAATATAATGTGCTTGGTTGTTTCTATGTATTATGTATTATGTACATGTACTCGCCTTCACCTTGTTAAATCTTGACATAATATTTGGATTGTACGTGGCACAGGAGACAATGATAGTTTTACATTTGTATTCAGATATTTAAGTAAAGGATAGAAAATGAAGATTGCCCTCTTTAGTCCATAAAATACCGCAAATGGAATGTGTCTTTAACTCCTCTCTTCAATGCACTATTGTAACAAACTGTCTTCCATTATTAAATAGGATTTGAATAATATGGAATAATTTGTCTTACAGATTTTATAGGTTTGTTGTCAATTTTAAAAGAAGTACTGTATCAGATTGGTGTTTTCAGGATTTCGTTAATACTATTGTTTACTATTTTCATATAAAATTCTGAAAATAATTAGTGGTCTCAATTCACAAGTGATGATAAATATTTTGAGTAGTCTGAGTCCATTTGAATCAATGCTTCGTGTCCATATCTTGCCCCGAATTACCAATCTATGGATCCAACCAATTTCGAGTAACTGACCGCAGAATAAACACTCCAATATCATTCCAGAACACTTTTAAAAATTCCACTAAGTAGCCATCTGGATCTGGTGATTAATATCATTTTGTTACACTTCTCTATATTTTGATTGACGACATTGTTTGTGTCGCGTTGGTCAATTGGACACGTTTGGAAACCTTGCTTAAGATAGGAGTTAATTACAACTGAAAAAACTATAAATTAATATATTTAATTTTGCTCCACTGAATTTGCACCGCTACAACCAGAACCCAAAGGAAAAAGAGAAACAGTCCCCTAGATATAAATAACGATAACCAAAGCCCCACTTTAAAACCTACGCCTCACGTGTAGCATAAACAACATTATAATTGATTGTTATGAATGTGGTTTAGAGATACACCAGAAAAGCCGTGGCAGATATGAAACATGGGAAAGTTATGAGTTAGCTTATAGGAAAAAGGTCAAGGGCAAAAATGCTTCGTCATTTAGCTTACATCGTCAATTTTGGGAGCCTAATATCATTTCATCGGGATTGGCCTTTTGGTCAAAAAGTGCATGATGGAATGCGTTAGTGAATTCTTCACCATCAAGAATACCATTCTCATTATGGTCAATGGCTTTAAATATGTCTTGAACAGGGGCCTTGTTGCGGAATACAAAAAGGAAGTTGGAATACTCATCTACAGTCAGTTTGTCATCGCAGTCGAGGTCAAATGTGTGAAACCAATCCCAGGAGTCATGGGGGACCTCCTCGCCGACCTCCTTCTCAACAGCTGGGAGCAATTCCTCGAATGTCATGGATATCTTATAATTGGTGTTTGCGTTAGACCACCAATATTGATACAGTTCGGACATAATACCATATACGGCCTTGGCTCGCCAGGATTCCAAGACTTTTCCAGCTCGCTCTGCTGTTGCATCGATGTATTCCTCTTTAGTGACTACCCCATCTCCATTGGGGTCAGTGATGTCGAAGAATGACTTAAACTTAGCAATCCAGTGCTTGGTGAAATGTTCCTTGGAGTCCTGCGGGATATATGATATAAAAGGGTATATTCAAAGCCGAAAAAATAGGTATCACACCAAAATTTCGTTACAATTGAAAAAAATCCTAAAAAACATTGCCATAATATAAGTCTTAAATCCTACATGTTTATACAGCCGGTTTCTCTTATGATCCGATTAATTTAATTTTCAAGCTAGCACACTGCAGTCTGTGATGCATATAAATTATGTAATGCGATAATGTTATTAAATCATTTCCCTATGTTCTTTTAACTTCTGACAATGACATTTAGACAAAGGTTAATAGCAGGACGCCTATGTGGACCTACCTTTACACTATATGTAGAGACTATGCTCTCAACCACCACCAACAGCAGCATGACTCTGTGCTTCATGACGGACATATCTTTTACCCTGGCGAGGTCTCTGAAAAAAAGTTATCTATATCAGTATTATTCCTATGTCTTCTGCATGATGAAAAATATATCCCTTCCATGAAGGGACATAATATTTAAACTATTACAGGTATAAAGGCATTTCAGTGGTTATCGTAGGCAGGTAAGATCAGATTCATTCAATTTACCCTCACTAATCACACGTATCCAGACACTTTGCCAAGGTGTGTTTTGAGCACATTCAGACTGCAAAACGCGCTACACGTACCTTACCGATTGGTTTTTCAAGTCTTCTTATAAGGCAGTGTCTTGTCTGATATATCAAAGCTGGAGGGAATAGTGTCTATTAAAAACCCAATAATGCCTTCAATGTGATAACAGCTATCCCGTATTTAAATATATACATCCCCTTTCAATTTTACAATTGCAAATTGAACATTTCTTTATTTCCAAATGTAAGCATGGAACTTAATTGCCATGTGGGCTGCCAGGACAAAAAAGATGCTATTAAGTTATTGTGGCTTTTTACATTCTAGAATAAATGTATAGATGTGACTGCAGACTGGAATACACGTTTAGTGAGTATCATTTTATCGACAGAATGGCATATGAGGGATAAAACATATCTATTCCACCTAATACCATATCTCTTATGTTACTCCCATACCATAGTAGCATTACCCCTACGGCAATCCGTGAAATGTTACAAGAAAAAGTCTTTAAAAATGCCATGTTTTCATGTTCTTGAAGATTGTTCAACTGACCAATTATAGAGAGAATCAAAGTCACATATTTGTTTTCGAGAACGCAACTTTTTAGTAGTGATTTCTACCTAATGCCGTATATCGTCTGTAGCTCTCACACCAAAAAAGCATGACACCTACGGCAATCTGCAAAATGTTACAGACAAAAGTGATGAACAAATTATATTTATTCATATTCTGGAAGAATGTTCGACTGGCCATTAATAAAGAGGATCAAAGTCACATCTTAGTATTGGAGAACGCAGTCCACGCGATTCGAACTTGCCATGGGACCAAAATGGCGTACAATTAATTTTTTGGGTAAACTCAAACTTCTGACAATCCTGAGGGTCAAAACTCCCTTCTGTGTTTGCTGTATGGTCAAACGTTTATCCCTTTCACGTATGTATATCATTTTGAGTAACTTTTTTTCTATATTTTGCAAGGGGAACACGTCCTTTTTTATTTACGACATTGATCGTGCACCTTGGTCTATCGGAAAAGTTTGGAAACTGAACAAAACCATGAATACACATGTACTATATTTTATTTTGCTCTACTGAATATGTTCTTCTACAATCGGAAGTGAAAATAAAAAAAGGAACATTCATCCTAGATTAATCTGACAATAAACCGAAACCGAAACCCCCACTTAACAACCTATGTCTCAAGTGTGACATAACAATAGTGTTACTGAATGTCATAAATATAGTGTAGAGATACACAGAGATACCAGTAGTGACAGGTTTGATAAATGAAAGAGATATGAACAAGCTTATAGGGAAAAGGTTATAACCGAAATGCTTCTTCACTTTAGCTTACATCGTCAATTTTGGGGGCCTAATACCATTTCATTGGGATTGGCCTTTTCATCAAAAAATGCATGATGGAATGCATTTGTAAATTCTTCATCATCAAGGATATCATTTTCATCATGGTCAATACCTTTAAAAATGTCTTGAACAGGGGTTTTGTTGCGCATTACAAAAAGGAAGTTGGAATATTCATCAAATTCAGTTTGTCATCGCAGACAAGGTCAAACGTGTGAAACCAATCCCAGGAGTCCCGGAAAAACTGTTGCCTTGAATAACCAAGCTCTTTCTCAACAGCCGGAATGTTATAGATGTCTTAAAGTTGGTATTTTCGTTAGACCACCAATACAGATATATTTTGAACATAATACCATATACGGCTTTGGCTCGCCAGGATTCCAAGACCTTTCCAGCTCGCTCTGTTGTTGCATCGATGAATTCCTCTTTAGTGACTACGCCGTCTCCGTTGGGGTCAGTGATGTCAAAAATTGACTTTAATTTAGCAATTCGGTGCTAAGTAAAATAAGCCTTGGAATCCTATGGAATATAAAAAGGTACATCCAAAGACGAAAATAGGAATTTACACTTTTCGAATTTGGGACAATTAATTAAATTCTAAAGAAAAAAAATATTACCATATTCTTAAATCCTTCACGTTAATATAAAAGTTGGTTTTATTTATGGTGCGAGTAACTTGATTTCCATGCTCGCACACTGCAGTCTGTGATGCATAAAAATTATGGACACCTGTGTGGACCTACCCTTATACCATTTGTAGAGACAAAGCTTTCAACCACCACCAACAGCAGCATGACTCTGTGCATCATGGCTGTCAGGTCTTTGATTTTTACCCTGGCGAGATTTCTGAAAACAAAAATATGCATACCAGTATAATCTCAAAGTCCCGCATGTACCAAATGCCACCCCCCCCCCCCCCCACACACACACACACACACACGCACACACCCCAAGGCATAACCGGCACAGGTCTCAAACTACTGCGCATGCGCGAAAAGTACGCTGTTTGAAATAAACAAATGGTGAAATTGACAAAGCCTGCCGGTGTTTACCGTCTGGTTGATTTGATTTAATTTGCTTTCTGGTGTTGTATTGAGAAATGATATTTTGCCGTCATTAAGGGGGATACCCTTCGCATTTATAGTGTTATATGTGGCCCCAAGGGGATTTTTCACCCCTCCCCCACTTTTGATTAATAAAATTCTTCATCGGGCAGATTGAAAATTACATTGCAAAATACATAAAAAATCTTAAGAAGGTTAATTGCAGATAATGCTGTAAGTATATTCTTATTAGGGGGGCGAACTTGGTTAATATAATCTTACTTCGTCTTACGATTTTGGAGCGCCTGTTCTAATTTTTGAACGCGAGGCAACGGAACCAAACAATACGATACAATTTGCAATCTCGTAAAAATGTATATTTTTTAATAGAGGTCATAGCCGGGCGTACATCAAAAGGCGACTCGTTTATCATTGTGATATTTAATAATAATTAATATAAAAGATACGATATAATAGATTCTTGTAGACGGCCTATTTATTAGCTTTATTGATTTTTTTAAGTATTTGGAGATTAAAAACCCAAAAGTTGTCTGGTTTCATATCGAGGCACCCCGTCTCGTTCGTGTGCTGGCATAACCAATGTATCGTCTTTTAAATCGGTTTTATCAAACCATTGTCCCATCAGACCCGATCACTGCCATTTATACATAAGCGACGTTATCAACTATATCTGTCTTGAGCCAGTGAATAGGGATAATGTAAAAAATTAAACATATTGCTACCGACCCCGTTGTGTGACATTGCACATATGACTTACCGGGTGGTTTACCTACTGTTTTCTTAGAACCGTGTCTTGTCGGATCCGTTGTTTCGCAGAACTGCTGTTCTGATACTATGGTTCTGATACTATGGTGTTTTATGGCAGACGATGATCCCATATTTAATTTTATGTGTCCAGTTTTTCTAGTTGAAAAGTTTTGTCATATAATGAAAACACAGAACTACAATTTCATGCGGGTTGTCAAAAGAAAAAAGACAAAATAAATTACATGTATATGATAGCGTTTTTAGCAGTATTTGTTTGCTGGTATTTCTTGTTTGCACAGTTATCATCTTTAACATCTACATTTCTCGTGAAATTTGTCTCGAGATCATATCATTATTATTATTATTATTATTATTATTATTATTATTATTATTAGGATTCCTCATAGGGGAATAATTTTGTTTTTGGTAATATTATTATTTTAGTTATTTTTATTCTTTCCACGCGTTTTTTTTTTTTTTCCAAAAAATCTGAAATAATCATCATAGGTAGCCTATGGTAAGAATATGCCATAGACCCAGTTTCAGTAACCTTGGCCTTCTTTTCAAGGTCACAGGGGCTTTTAAAGGAAACATTTGTAAAATTTGAAATAGCCATTAGGCCTAACGTGTAAGCTATATGGCTAAGAGCCTTATGGCCAAAGATACTGAGATAAATCCTCAGATAATGACCTACTTCAATGCAAGTAGGTCAAGGTCAAGGTCGCTAATGGCCAAACCGGGTCAAAACAGGTTTGTTTCCGAGATCTCTAAAAAAGGAAGGCCCAGAGCCCTAATCTTAGTAGCAAATGATGCCCTATATATATATATATATCTAAGAATAAATCAAACTTTCGTAGCGATTGTCTAATACATTTTTTTAATATAGATTTTTAAACATTTATGACATTGCAGAAATCGTGACTTTGGCAATTTCTCAATGAAATACTGGCTTGGGGTCATAACATGCTATAGTAAACTACCCCAAACATATACCCAAAACCGCCAAATCAAATTTGACCTTGACCATCATTTTCAAGGTCATTTGGCTATTTCATGGAGAAATATTGACATGGGCTAAAAGTGATGTTTTGTTGACCCCCTTCCCACAATTCGCATATGCTCTTTCAGAATTTGGGGTTAAATTTACCTGGGACCTTCACATGACCTTGTAAGTGCCCATTGCCTTCAAGTTCAAAGCTCAATTTCTCTTTATTTGTCATTTTTGCCTGTCTTACCTCCATATACCTGCTATTATACAGACATATTGCCTAAGAATAGTTTGTTAACATAACTCAATAATTAAGTCAAGGGGTCATTAGGTCAATAAACTATTACACAATATCTTTTACTGATTGACGAAAGCATTTCCACACCTATTTTGCAGGGGATTCCTCCCCCACTGGCTTCAGCCAGTTGCGGTCTAATTATAATTATTATTCAGAGTTCATTCCCTTGTGTCTCTTGGTATGACAGTGACCTTTGTATCCGGCATTCGAAGTATACTCCAATCCAGTTCTAAATCCTTATAAATTATGCAAGACAGTCCTATAAGATATAAATCCATAGAGATGCACCGATTTCAAGTTATAACTGTTCCTTTAAAAGATCGGTTTTAA